TTGAACTTCTCTAAGTAAATGAAAGTGAACCCGCAAATTATCCATTTATGGAAGTGATCTTTGGTAAACCACATTTTTTGTTTTTTGGTCTGACGTTAACACAAACAAAGCGGATGGTTTTCCAACTTGTGAACAGGTAACGTATAACTGCCCATGTGAAAAACAATGATTTTCTAAATAATCTATTTGAAATTTATCCCGCAAACACTAAGCAATTGGCCTTGCGACATGTTATTGCGAACGCAAGGCGAACTGAATATTGCAATCGTTTGAAGTCAAACGGAAGACCAGTCAGAATCTTCGGTATGTCACCAAATCGCCAGCAATTCTTGCCGCAAAGAATAATAATCACTTACCAAGCATAATTCTGATAATTCTCACTAATGTCATTACTCGAATTTTTAATTACGGTGCGTAAAGTTCCAGCAGCTTGCATTAAGGCACGACGCCATGCACAACTAATTTTCTTAGCTATAAACCTTGCGGAGCCCGAGACCTTTCGAACGAATGCAAAATTGTCGAAATCGGTTCGTGCGTTCTGGAGTTATTTTGTCAGGAAGAAAAACCGGACTTATTTTTATATATATAAAAGATAATCTATTTGAAATTATTTAAAACAGTTATTGATTATTTTTATTACTAATTTTTAATTACGGTGCGTGAAGTTCCAGCAGCTTGCATTAAGGCACGATGCCATGCACAACTAATTTTCTTAGCTATAAACTTTGCGGAGCCCGAGACCTTTCCAACGAATGCAAATTGTCGAAATCGGTTCGTGCGTTCTAGAGTTATTTCGTCAGGAAGGAAAACCCGACTTATTTTTATATATATAAGAAGAAGATATTGAATAATGATTTTCAGCCAGTTGTCGAAATAAAAGAAACAAATAAATATAAATATTTATTTATAATATACGTTTCGACACAGATTGTGTGTCATCATTCAGCAATCCTTTGTTAACAGTATCTAAAAATATTTATAAAGTTTAAAAAAAAAAAAAATTAACTTTATATTTAAAATAATTAAATATATACATACCACACCAAGAAAAATCATTTTATCAATAAATACATATAGAAAAACCAATCATACATTACATATAAATAAATATAGAAAATAAACAATATTAACTGACATGTTTTGTTTTTAATTTTAAAACTAAAAATTTTTGTAATGTACAGGGTCCGGCACTCGAAGTGCAACCAATTGCTACATTCGGCCAAATGCGATTTATTTTTGGACCATCTAAAGGCCGTAGTCAAAGCTAAAGGTGGTCATATCGAGCAAAAGTAAATTGTTTTTAAATTTTTGTAGTTATGAGCAAATAGAACGCAAACGAAAAGTCACGTGACACACAAGAAGTGTTTGGAGATGGATTTTCAGAGATAATATGATATTCATGAGATAGAACTATCCCTACTAATCAGCACATCTCCCTTTCAAAAGGAATCGAATGTTGTTTGAACCATTCAAATCGGTTGATCCATGCGCGCGAAAACGTGGACGAAAAAATGCGTACATACAAAACACACATACACACATCCATTTTTTCTGAGGTATGTCAAAATGTTCAAAAACCTTCAAAACGTCAAGAAATGCAAAAAATTTTATTTTCGATTTTTGGCCCATTACTATAACTACCTTAAGGAAAGTTAACAAATGCTTGCACCTCAATTATTCATATTCAACAATATTGCGCCACATTGCATTGCAGTACGAATTGCGTTTCCATTTGAAAAATGATCAGCTGATGTACTTATAAGTCCATTGTGTGAGCAGATGAAGAAATTAACTATCCAACGGTATTTTCAAATTTACTTGATCTGCTAAAGTTAAAACCACACACGTCAAAATGGAAAATTGATGCGCCACTTATCCTCTCGCGAAATCTTAATCAGCCAAAACTCTGCAACGGTACTCGAATTGCTGGTAAAAAATTAATGATAAACGTAGTAGAAGAAATTCTGTTCTGTTATCATTCTTGTTCGTACAAGTGTCTTGCTATTAGTTATCATACTCTTTATATTATTTTCTAAAACGGTTTTACCACGCTTTAAATGCGTATATTCAGTTATTAGTCTACGAATCGACCATTACAAACTTTTCATAGTCCTAAGTTATAAAGATAGTTTACACATACTTATATTTTTTAAATTATACTTCTTTTATATGTTATTAATAATATTTATAATTTCATTTATTTGCTGCTCTTGTTTGATCTCAAACACATACAATTTAACAGAATAATATTTTATTAACTTCCCGAAGGAGAAGTTTATGCTTTCATAAAAAAATCCGATTTGCTAACTTTATGTTTTTCGACGTTTCAAGCCATTCTGAATCGAATGAGACCAAATTTGGGTAAAGTATGTGTGTGTGTATGTAAACAGATTTTTTGCCGTAAATAGACGTTTTCTCAAAAACGGCTGAACCAATTTCAAAAATTTAAAAGCCATTCGATGCACCTCGATGAGGACTATTGTTTGTCAGTTCTGTGCGATGATCGGCCAAGCCATTTCTTTATAAATAGCAAAAAAGTGAAAAAAATTTTGTTCACGTTTTAGCCCGCAATTCTGAATCGATTTTGAAAATTTAAAAACCATTCGAAAGATATTGGTTGGGAATCGTGCTGATTAGTTTTTGGTAGTGATCGGCCGGGCTTTCTCAAAAACGCCTGAACTGATTTCAGAAATTAAAAATCCATTTGATGTATCTCAATGACTATCGTTTGTCAGTTTTATGCGACAATCTGCCAAACCGTTTTTTTATAATTTGAAAAAAAGTGTTAAACTTTTCGTCCACATTTAAGCTCATACTACCGAATCGATTTAAAAAAATCAAAAACTGTTCGAAAGCTATTAGTTGAGAATGATACTGATCAGTTTTAGGTGAAAATCTACCGAGCCGTTTTCTTGTAATTAACAGTTGAAACATTTAAGATTTTTATGGAACTTTATTTGGCGATATATATCACGGTGTTATATAACTTATTGAAATATTACGGTCTTACGACTAGTAGTTTAATTTTAAAAAATCATCAAATTTTGAGAAAATTAGACGATTAAACGATAAATTAAAATTAGACGATTTACTTGGTATGACGATAGAGTACTTGGTCTTAATGAACATACTAACTAAACCATTGAAGTCCTACGGAAACTGGTTCAATTATAAAAAATGTTGATTTTTGAAAATTTGCTATTAGTTGATCGGATAAATATTGTGAAAAATGAGTAAAAATAATGTAAAGGATTATGTGATGAGTTTAAAGTTGTGTCAAGGTACATCTCCTTTTAATAATATCAATACTTATTAGATTTTTATTTTTGAAGGTACATTATGACGCATTTGCGTACAGTATTGATGTAAATACATATCATAGGTTTAAAACGAGAGCTATTTTTCTACGGCTGCTAATTTATAAATTTTTATAAATAGCAGGTCCGTAGCAATACGAGCAATAGAATTCGAGGAAATTTGCTGCGGAATAGGTTAATATTCTAACGTTAAAGTGATTTTAATATTTCATTATATGTCACAATAATATTAATTGAACAATTTATAAGCATAAGGAAACTGATTTTCAAGTTGCGAAATCAAATTTTTACATTTAATTATTAAGCATAATTATCATAATTTATGCTTTAGCAAATGGTATCATCTCTATTAATTTTCTTGAATGAGTTTGATTATTACTGAGGGAATAAATCTAATATGAAAATAATTTTTTGGTAGACTAACATCGGTCCTATTTTGGTGGCAGTGAACTCATATAATGACGTAGGCAATTGTTTAACGCTGACCAGTACCAGAAATGTGCATCTCGCGCCACAACTTCGACGGGTGGTGCAAGAAGCAGTGCGACAGCAAAGCGAAACTGGATACCCGCAGGCCATTATTCTGTCTGGTACATCTGGATCGGGCAAGACTTATACGAGTATGCTGTTATTGCGACAACTTTTTGAAATAGCTGGCGGAGGTCCGGAGACTGATGCTTTCAAGCACCTCGCTGCAGCTTTTACAGTTCTTCGATCTTTAGGCTCTGCTAAAACTACCACAAATTCTGAATCCAGCCGCATAGTAAGTATAACATTTAAACTCACATAGTGCACACACACACATATATATATATATATATATATATATATATATATATATATGATATTCAGTTTTCAGGGCAATACATCAATTAAAAAAAATTTGTATGACTTTAAAACATTTTTATTTCAACATCAAAATTATATAAAAAAATTTAATATATATATATATATATATATATATATATATATATCGACGTAAAATTCTACGTCATCATCAGTGGTTATACAATTGAATTAACAGAAAAAGTGAAGTTAAAAACTAATTATAAACAGCGAAAGAAAAAAGAAATTCAATGATTAAAATGATATAATAATTTAACAAAAATTAAAAATAATAAACATTTTTTATTTGATGTCGTAATCTATTTAAAATAGGGACAATTCATTGAAGTTCAAGTAACAGATGGTGCTTTATACCGAACCAAGATTCACTGTTACTTTTTGGACCAAACTCGAGTTATTCGATCATTGCCACAAGAAAAAAACTATCATATATTTTATCAAATGCTGGCTGGGCTTTCTAGAGAGGAGCGTATTCGATTCAATTTGGATGGATATAACCCAACAAATTTACGTTATCTACAGGCCTTCGATACGCATCAAAATCAAAAAGAAGATTCTGAAAGGTAAGCGTAATATATATATATATATATATATATATATATATATATATAAAGGGCCGGTCCTGCCTTGCACGCGATGAATGCGAAAAATGCGGGCGCACGCCCTAAGGGGCGCCAAAACGAGATTCGGAAATGAAATTTATAATACATTATTTATATATTTTTTAATATAGAATCTAGAATACTTAATAGATTATAATAAAGGCTTATGGAAATGGAGCAAATATGAAACATGAAAGCAAAATGTACTTAGAAACAAAAATCGTGAGCTTTTTTTATACCTAGTGGTGTCCATACTAAATCTAATTATTAACTAAGCAGAAATAATGCAGATACAAAAGTAATTGTGTTTTGTTTTCAATATAGTTCAGAAAATAAATAAATTCTTTGCATCATCTAAAATACGTTAAAAATATAACTTTGAAACAATAATCTGATAATCTGAATCTGATGGGAAAGTAAAGATAAATACAATTCGTCTCTTACGTTATCAATAAGGAGAAGTTTATGTTGCAATTTTGAATATTGTTAATAATGAAAAAATAAATTAAAATAAAATTTTAAAAAATCCAAAATAAAATACGAGTGTTATGTTTAAAAATGTTAAAAATACTTCAAAATATAAAATATTTGATCATGTTCAACCCGCAAATCGCTTTGATTTTCTAAATAAAATTAAAATCAATGTATTTTATACGCTTTTAGATTATATCTAATTTTTTGTGTAGTATATCCAGAATGATTAAAAATCAATTTCAAAAAGTTAGGTAAATATTTATATAATTTTAATGATAAATGTTAAAACAGTTAAAACTATTGGGGGGGGGGGTCGCTAGAACAAATCTTGCATCTGGCGCTGAGGACCTCGGGACCGGCCCTGTATATATATATATACTCAGTCTTAGTTAATATTAACAACTATAATATAATATAATATAATAATCACTACGCCATAAATCTCATTACATTGTATGATCTCATATCAATGAACTGTAAATGTAAAAACGCAGTAATTCTCATGAATCTCGATCGGGGAAGAACATAATTTGCACATCTTTGTGATGCTTATGTAAAGACGAACTGATTAGTTTTTGGCAAAGGCAGGTCGAGCCGTTTTGCAGATACAAACCTAAACTAGTGAGGCGCTTAGCATCGTGCCTTAAGGCTAATTGCTGGAACTTCCCGTACCAAAAATTATTATTTATTTAAAAACGATTAACATTTTTGAAAAAAAAATTACTTCGAAAAAATTAGATTTTTGGGAAACTATAATTTTGACAAAAAATTACTTTTTTTGAAAAAAAAATTTAAAAAAAAAAATGTTTTCTTTATTTTGACATATTTTAGAAATTCTGAACTTTTTTTCAAAGCAATCGTACTGCTTTAACTGCATAGAGACGAGATGTAGAAGCGCGTAAGTGCCGCGTCCCGTCTAGCGGATTAACATTGGTACTGTACCCATAGGAATGTAAACAAAATTTATACTTATTGTTAAAATTTCTATGAAATATCTGATAATTTGATGTGCATATGTCTAATGATCATTTTTGACCGCCAAATGGCATTTTTTTACTTTTTTCATTAAATCTCCGAAACCGCTAGACCTGCCTTTATAAAAATTTCATCAATTCTTTATCTTGTTAATACAAGTAAAATGTAAATGTTTCTTGAATTATTAAAATTTTTGGCACTTTTTGCCCCGTATCTTCGGAACCGCTAGACCAGCCTTTGCCAAAAACTAATCAGCACTTTTCGTTATCAGTACGAATCGAATGTTTTTTGAATTATTTAAATCGGTTGATCGGTGTTCCCGAAATCGTCGACGAAAATTTGTATCCGCACACACACACACGCACACAAACACACATACATCCATTTTTTCTAAGGTATGCCAAAATATTCAGAAACGTTTGAAACGTAAAGATATATAAAAATTTTCATTTTCGATTTTTTTGCGATCACTATAACTTGCTCTACGGGAAGTTAAAAATATACAAAAATTTGTAATTTTAAGTAAACGAAACATCCGATTTGATTGAATCAAAAAACATTTTGATTATGTTAACAGTGTGAAGAAACGAATAGTTTTTGAAAAAAGCAAAAAAAATTTTTTTTAATTTCAAAAATTAAAACAATTTTTTTATTTATTTTCCAAAAAACAATATTTGAACATCAAAAATAATTCGAATTAAATTATACGCTTCAAAAAATAATTTCAACAATTCAGTTCATTAATTCTTAGAAATATGAAATAAAGTTGATTGTTCTAACTTCAGTTGATTAAAAGGGTAATTATGCAGTAACCACAGTAAATAACATAGCATTGTTATGGCAACGCTATGTTATGCTTGTTTCTTGATAGTAAAAACTGTGAAAATGTCTATCTAATTGTTGTACGATAATGCATTTTACATTTATAACATAAAACAGTATGTTACAAATGCGCATTACGAAGGTGAGGTTATCATGGCATTCTACTTGCTTGTTTTATACGGAATTGGCCCATAAGTTTTGTTTATTTATCGTTGTCGTATTTAAAAGCCCTTATGTTTTGTCTATAAAATACGAATAATGAAAGTTACAGTTTTTATAATAATCTATTTGAAAACTTTTAATACCTCAAATATTTCATTTCGGCTTAGGAAGTTCCAACAATTTGCCTTAACACACGACGCCACGCACAAATAGTTTTATTTAATTATTATATGATAATGTATTTAGTACTTAGCTTACTAATTGCAATGTCTTTTCCAGGTTTCAAGCTTGGAAGGCTTGTCTGAGTGTCCTCGGAATACCGTTTTTAGATGTGGTGAGAGTTCTTTCGGCAGTGCTGCTCTTGGGAAATGTAATATTTGTGGATGGTAAATCTTTAGAAGTATCGGTTAAAGGCGAAACTGAACTCAATTCAGTAGCGAACTTGTTAGGTAATTGTCATATCTAATAGTTGAAACATAAACGTATTTATAAATACATACGTCAGTATTTTGAGTACAGATAAATGATTGTATTTAATCTAAAAATATTTTATTTTGTGTTACATATAATTTTTTTCGAATGAAGCATTGCATTATGTATAAAGGCTGATTGCTCAAAATGATTTATAAAAAAAGTTCGTAACTCTTTATGTAAATTAAATTTTTTGGTTGTGTTTAGACTAGAGTATAGAATGAATTGAAAGTTCTAAAGTACAATTATTATTTTTATTAGGTTTAAATAATATTACGGAAATATAAAAATAGTTGTTACGGCATTTTTTGAAAGAGTATACGTTTCCGTAAACTAGTAAACCAAAAAGTTTAAAGTGTGCTAACAAGTTTCATCAAAAGTTGTCGCATTTAATAAGGATTGTAAAATGGTAAAATTGTTGATAATATTATAATTAATAATTTTCAGTTAAGAAATAAAAACTGAAAAATGACATGACTTTTGTAATACATTCTAGTCATATTTCATTTAAATGTGTCAAATTTTCTCGATCGTTAAAGGTTGCGCTTACGACCATCATTTGAAATAAGTAATTGTATTGATTGTATTTGTAACTCTTATATATATGATTAATTTATTTGAATATATTTTAGGCGTTCCGGGACCATCACTTTTTCGAGGCCTTACATCTAGAACGCATAATGCCCGTGGGCAACTTATAAAATCTGTTTGTGATGCAAACATGTCTAATATGACAAAAGATTCTTTGGCTAAAGCTTTATATTGTCGCACCGTAGCAACTATTGTGAGACGTGCAAACAGTCTAAAACGATTAGGATCAACGTTGGGAACTTTGAGTTCAGATTCAAATGAAAGTGTACATAATCAAGCTGAGGTCACAAGTCAGCATGCTAGCACTGTAGGTGGAAACTCTGGTTCAAAATCTATGGTAGCCCTCAATAACGCTGTTCGTCATGCTACGGATGGATTTATTGGTATTCTTGATATGTTTGGATTTGAAGAACCAAAATCAAGTCAATTGGAACATTTATGTATAAACCTTTGTGCTGAAACCATGCAGCATTTTTATAATACTCATATATTTAAAAGTAGTGTCGAATCTTGTAGGGATGAAAATATACAATGTGATATTGAAGTTGATTATGTAGATAATGTGCCATGCATAGATTTAATTTCTTCGCTAAGAACAGGATTATTAAGTATGCTGGATGTGGAATGTTCTATAAGGGGAACAGCTGAATCTTACATTGCTAAGGTTAAAGTGCAGCATAAGCAGAATGATAGATTATTCGAACCTAAACCATTAGAGCCGCGTTTGTTCGGAATACAACATTTTGCTGGGAAAGTTATTTATGACGCTACAGATTTTCTTGACATTAATAAAGATGTAGTACCTGATGATCTTGTAGCTACTTTTCATAAGCACACTTGTGACTTTGGTTTTGCAAGTCACCTCTTTGGCAGCGAACTGAAAGCGTTGTATTCACTAGATATTGTTCCTCGGGGTATAAGTTTCAGAATATCTCCTACATCTCATACTGACTTATCAAATGGTGATGAACCGATATCTACATTGACACAAGATTTTCACACACGTCTGGATAACTTACTGCGAACACTTGTGCACGCTAGGCCCCACTTTGTAAGGTGTATTCGTAGTAATGCTACTGAAGCATCATCCAAGTTTGAGAAAAGATCTGTAATGAAACAAATTCGATATTTACAAGTGTTGGAAACTGTAAATTTGATGGCTAGTGGATATCCACATCGAATGAGATTCAAAGCTTTTATTTCGAGATATCGTTTACTTGCACCATTCAATGAATTATGCAGGGAAGAAGATAATGCCATTGATGATTGCAAATCGATAATGCGTTATGCGATAGACGCAATTGAAAAGAAAGAGAAAATTGTTTCAATGGGGTGGGATTTAGGAAAAAGACATATATTTCTAAGTGAAGGAATTAGACAATATTTAGAGAATTTGAGATCTAAAACAAGAAATGATAGTGCGACAATGATACAATCTTTGTGGCGAGGTTGGAGATTGAGAAGAAGGTGGATAGCATTGAAAAGAGAAAGGGATGTTCACATCACTAATTCTATAACCAATGAACATTCCAAGCCTAAATCATTGGGTAAGAATAAAAAAATCTTTTGATTTAATATAAAGCTATAATATATATATATATATATATATATATATATATATATATATTTCAAAGTAACTGGCAGCCCATTCGTCGAAATAAAAAAGGTATAAAGTATAAAAACTTTTATTTATACGTTTCGACACAAGATGCGTGAGATCATTCAGCAACACAGGACAAAAACACTCAACAAAAATTTATTTTAAAAAATTAAACTTAATAACATATTAGAGAAAAAAACATTTTTTAGAAAAAAATTATGTATAACTAAAAGATTTGAAAACTAATTTTACTAAAAGTTATGAAATACATCATTGTGAAGCTAGAAGCACGCCCATACCGAGCATCTAGACTCGACATAATTTTTTTCTAAAAAATGTTTTTTTCTCTAATATGTTATTAAGTTTAATTTTTTAAAATAAATTTTTGTTGAGTGTTTTTGTCCTGTGTTGCTGAATGATGACACGCATCTTGTGTCGAAACGTATAAATAAAAGTTTTTATACTTTATACCTTTTTTATTTCGACGAATGGGCTGCCAGTTACTTTGAAATATGTTTTAACGTCGAAAAAACTATCAAGATATATATATATATATATATATATATATATATATATATATATATGGTATATATATGATATATATTGTACATGTAACGGCTGGCGGTCGGGTCCATATAGTGTCCGATCCGCGCGAGGTCACATGTGTCTGTGACCAATCAGGATTCCGCGTGATTTGGAGATATACCACCAGGACGGAATGAATGTTATAGAACATTATGAATATATTATATTTTAATAATCTAGGTCAGGGGTCGGCAACCTGATTGCCGTTAAGAGCGCAAAACTAAATCTGAAAATTACCGAGGGCGCATCGGTATGAAAAAAAAAAGATTTTTCATAACTTTATTCTCTTAGCATAGTATAATATATACATTACGAACATTCAGTACATCGATAAAAGAAGAGTATTATCTAATAATACCTAATTATATACATATAATTTAGTGTGAAACTTGTGTGAAATATTTCATATTTGAAAACAAAGACTCGCAATTGTATGTTGTTGCACAATATGAGAAAATTTTTAGCGCACATTTCCTTAAAATAGGATACTTATTTTCATCGACTCAATTCCAAAACATTTTAATATTACTATGTGCTTTTAAAATAATATCATTTTGCAAGTTTATTATTTCTAACTCCACGTCTTCGATATTACTAATTTCGAAATACACTGAAACACTTTGCAGAAAATCATCTTCGGCAACTTTATATAAAATAAAGGGTTTATAAAAAAAATCCCAAAACGGGTTTTAGTGCTGCGAAATCTTGAAATCTTGAACAAAACTCTTCTGCCAATTTGTCTATAACTTCTAAATATGATGTAGTAGTAAAATTTTCTATATTTATTTTTAGACTTTCAACAATATGCCTTATATTTGGAAAATGTGAAATTGATTTGCGCTAAGGTTATCATACATTTACATTAACCGAGGGCGCATCTAAAGTTGATCGGGAGCCTCTGATCTAGATTATAGAACGTACGAACTTTGCGGTGTTAGGGATTATTGTCTGGTGTTTTTGGTGTTAATGGACTTTGTTGTGGAAGTAATATCGGCAGTAAATATAAAATGATAGGTAATTGTGTCGTTGTACAAATCACTGATCTCTTAGCCTTAGCCATGTTTTCAGGGGACTTTTCTTCCTCGAATTTGATAATCCTCTTTGATATTTTTTAAACCTTTGGAGTCTGAAAATGAATTGTTTAATAAAAAGAGTGCTTTAAGTATGAACTTTTTCTTCAAGGTTCTGTCTTTGAATATAATTTGTGTTATTGAGGTCTTCTAATTATACGGGCAACCTATTTTTGACTACAAAGGACAACGGTTCAGTACGTTGTGTGAAACGACCGTTCACGTAAAAAAAAAAAATATTGTGCGCAGCGTCTATGTGCGAGGCATACATTGCGCTTGCTGAATAGCTATTATTATTCATGATTATTTAATTAAAAAAAAGAATTATATTTTATTATTTTATTTAATTAATTTATTATATATATTGTAATATTCGCAGTTGAACGTTCAGCTGGATGTATTGGCAATACAGGATCTGGTAGGCCAAGACCACAGCCGATTGCTGGTACCCCTCCACCTGATCCGGCAGACAAGTGCGACACTAAGGTTGTTCAACAGACGTGTACCTTATTTGGACTCGACCTGGTGTGTATATAATATATAAAAAACTGGTGGTTCGTGGCATTGTGCATTAAAGCAAATTGATTGAACTTCCCGTATCGTAGTCAACATTATATAAAAACTTTAGAAAACGTAGACGTAAAAAACCTTTAATTTTACTTATAATTAGGTTGTTTTTTAAAGAGTTGTCCACCACTGACACTTTTTGTCAATTGCTTTTGAAATTTTTGTATATATATTTTTTATAATACTTTAAACCATATTTTTACCATCCTTCTAATAATTTTTAATTAAAAAACCTTTGTTTTGTAATAGTCATTTTAGTGGTTCAATCATTTTTTATCCCACTTTCAGTTAGCGAAAGCGGCATAAGGATTTCTTAATAATTTTTATTGCAGTTTTCTCCAGCTTATGGAAAAGCTTGAATATTTGGATAAAAAACATTTTATTTTTATTAAGGATTGCTCGCCCTCAACCTTAATTGGTTAAAAATAAAGTTTTCGCTTTCACTTAGATCTAAACATTGTGATTTCCAATTATCTCTCAAACACATTTATAATATCTGTAATCAGGGCCGGTTCTACTTAGAATGCGATGCATGCAAAAAATTCCGGCGCACGATTTAGGGGGCGCCAAAACGAGATTCAAAAATATATAATCAAGAATACTTAATAGATTATAATAAACAATCTAACCTAACTATGGTTATGAAGATGCAAAAAGCATATTTAGTTTGCAATGTGGTGTCAGTAGAAACAATTAACCGATTTATAACTCTGCAAATAATTAGTAAATTATTGTTCTGCTTAATCGATTAAGTGCACAGTGCACAGACATGTGCTTCAATGTCCAAATATTGTAGCTTATTATTTCAAGTTTTAATAAATTTCCGTAGGACAGTTATTTCATGAATTTTATACAATTAAAATATGATGATTCTTAACTCTGAATTTTATTCTTAAAGAATATTTGAAAAAACTTTTCTTTTTTTTAACTTCTGGAAGAATTTTTTTTATTTTGAAAAATAAATTAAGGCCTGTTTTAGAACTTTTTTCTCTGTATTTTCTAATTCGCAAGATTTGCCTTTCCCATAAAAAAAATTTCTTCTCATTTCTTCAACATCAACATAGGGTAGGGCGGGGCTAGTTGAGCAAATTTTTACTTAAACGGATGTAGCTCCTCAATGAAAAGTCTCAATAAATTGCTATACGGCTTAAAGGATTTGTTGTTTATCGCTTAACAAAAGTGTCAATACTAGTTTTTGGTAATAAGTAAAATTTAAACGCTACAGCTGTTTAAATACAAAAAGTCAAGTATGCTCAATGTACCCCATAGGTGGGGCAAGTTGAGCAGTAAAGAAGTATAATAAAATTATAGGTTCAATGTCGATTAGTGATGAAATAAAATAAGCTTTTAATAACCAGTTCTATATTTATAGTCTTTATTGACAGAGAAAACAAAACTTATAGTAATTTGCTTTGAATAATTAACGATTAATTAAGAATTATTTTCCATTATATTCAGTATTTTGGTTTAAAATCATTATTTCTTTATATCATTATTCATAAACTTAGCTTAAATCTTAAAAATAATAATCAATTTCTGGAAGTTAATGGTAATTGTCTTAGTGACAGAACAAGTTTAGCAACTATGCTCAACTAACCCCAACTCGGAATTTCAAAATAAAAGTGAGTTTTTAAAAAAACCGTTAGAATTATACCCAGAATCTCTGTGCATATTAAAAGTACTATAATTATATGGAAGAATAAAATTTACCTGGTTAAAAATAAATAACATTTGACTAAACCAGACGAAAACTCGTGATGAATGACTTTTTTACTTTTTGGTCTCAAAATAAACAAAACGCCCGTGAGCCTCACTCATTTGTCCAGCGGCTACTAGCAATCGCGGGATGTTTATTTCTCCCAAACCTCTATCTTTCCGCCATATAATGCCTAAACGGATGGTGAATAGTTTTCGGGATATTTCGATTGCTCAACTTGCCCCTATGCTCAACTAGCCCCGCCCTACCCTACCGTCATAAACTGCATGGCCATTTTTTGCTCCGAACTCCTGAATGGCAAACCTGGCTTTTGCAAAATCTTATCAGTATGATATCTTGCAGTAACTGCAAAACAAAAGTTTTTTGAATTATTTAATTGGGATGATTTATATTGTCGGAAATGCCGAAGAGATTTGTTTGATCTTTACAAGTGAACTCCAAACATGATAATTTCCCGTTCATTACCCAAAGAAATAAAACCTAATGGAACAAAATTTGAACTTACCATTAATATCTGTATAAAATAAATGAAAATTTGATGTTCATATGTCTAATGATTATTTTTGATCACAAATGTAAATTTTTAGAACTTTTTTTGCTTTTCCAAAACGAGATAAAAATTGGTCAAGCCGTTTCGGAAATGTATTGCTGACCCAGCAAACGAAAAAACATTCGATTCCTATTGATAAGGAGATGTGCTGAGTTTTTGGCAAAGGCAGGTCCAGCCGTTACGGAGATACGGAGCAAAGAGTGTAGAAAATGCAAATCGAGTTTTTGAGAGAACGGAGTATCCGATATGAATGATCTAAAAAACATTTAGTTTCAATTTTTTTTCTGTCACATTTTTTAAATTGTATATCGAAAATATTTCAGATTTTAATTCTTATTCTGGCTAAAGTTCTAATATTCTTTAAACAAATAATTTCAACTTTGCGATTCAGTATATATAATTCTTATAAATAAATGTTACAGTATTGATAATGATCTATTTGAAAACATTGAATATTCCTCGAGCATTTCGTTACAGTAAGGTAAGTTCCAGCAATTTGCCTTAAGGCACGATGCCATACACCACCAGTTTAAATTGAATTGGCAAATTTTGATATTCAATACCACATTATGAAATATTAAAATTTAAAGATAATTGGCTTCAAAAATTAAAAATTAGTGTTAGATGTGTACAACTCTTGATAAAAATAAATCGCCTTTAAAGAAAAATCTAATCTAAAATTCAGTGCGAAACATTCACCGACTAAAAGCACGATGAAAAATTATTCGATTGACTATTACGAAATAGAGGTTTGAGGTAAGAGGGTGAAAATTTAAATTTAAAAATAGGTTCCAAAAATTAGTGGTGGACAAACCTTAGTTAATTTCTGGTAGGGCAAGTTATATAAATCGCAAGGAAATCGAAAATGAAAATTTTCATATATATTTACGTTTTAAAGGTTTCTGAATGTTTTGGAATACAAATTTTTGTCGACGATTTCAGGAATACCGATCAATCGATTTTAATAATTCAAAAAACATTCGATTTGTATTGGTAAGGAGACGTGCTGATTAGGTTCAAACAAAGGTGGTCGGGTTTTTGCAAAAGGCACGTCTAACCGTTTGGGAGGTATGGAGAGAAAAAGTTGTAAAGACGGTTATGCAGTTTTTGAGAGAACGGATCATCCGATTAAATAAATTGAAAAAACATTTTGGTTGAGCAGACGGTGCGCAAAAAATGCTTTTACAGAAAACTTCGTAATTTAAAAAAAAAATAAAAAAAATCAAAATTTTCAAAAAAATACTAAATTTTGAAAAATTTCAAAAAAAAATCAAAATTTAAAAAAATCGATTTCTTACAAAAATTTGAAGATATTTCGAAATTTTCAAAAAAAATGCATTATTTCAAAAATTTCTAAATTTTCAAATTATCATAAAAATCTAATTAAAAAAAAATTCTTATAAACATATACATAAGTTGTTTGTAAAATACTCTCGTCGCTCAATATAAAAATAAGCACCTATAAGTTATAATAAATAATCTATTTGAAATTATTAAATTAAATTTTTCGGATGTTTAATTACGGTACGGGAAGTTCCAGCAATTTGCCAATGATTTTTTTTCAGTCAAATTTAATTTGGCATGAGTTTGAGAAAATCCTAATCAATAGGTGAGAAACATTCATTCCCGAAAGCGAGTCGAAAAATTATTTGATTACTAAAATGACTATTACAAAATCGGGTTATATAGTAGGAGGGTAAAAGTTTAGTTCTGTACGCGTTTTTTAACGAAAGAAATGAGTTATAAAAAATCTTTCCAGTCCTTGATATCAAGTGGTATGAAAAATCGATGATGTTCAGTTATACTGAACGTGATTGTAAAATTTTATAAAAATTAGTCAATCCATTGCGAAGGAGTATTGTGGTGAACAACTCTATGATTCGAAAATTCCATATTAAGATATATAAACATATTTACATGTTTATGGTAAATTTTCAGGAGAGACCACCACCAGTACCACCAAGTCGGTCGTATACTGTAGCCGGAAATAGTAAATTGGGTTACCCTCAAACACGAGTTATGAAGATGACTTTTCCGGAAGAGCTTGTCAGCAACAACAACAACTCTAAGGACTCTGCAAATGTTGTCCTGCGCAAAGGTGACTCTGTCTTAGTTATAGGCGCTTCACATAGAAGAGGCCACCTAATTGTAGAACATAATAACGTTACGTTACATGTACCTTACCAGTTCATGGAGCTTGTAAAAAAGAACTTCATATCTTGATAACAAATTATAATATTTCTATATTGACATATATATATATATATATATATATATATATATTAATTGTTTAATATGAACAAAACAGCACTCAGATTTGTTTAACACAACTTTATTTTATGATTACAGACGTTTCGAGACCATGGTGTGTCTCATCTTCAGTGTAATTTCAAAAACAGTTACTTATATACTACACATTCTTTAATAATTTATTTAAATTTCATTTAATTTTTGATATATTACCATGGTCTCGAAACGTCTGTAATCATAAAATAAAGTTGTGTTAAACAAATCTGAGTGCTGTTTTGTTCATATTAAACAATTAATATTCGTTCCACTCATATCATAAAATTCTATATATATATATATATATATATATATATATATATATATATATATGTATGCGCAATAATTTTGTTTCTCTATTATATGTTTAAATTATTAGTAAATTTTATGAAAGCTACATATGGTAAAACAAATTAAGATCCATTATATATAACACTACCGCGCTGTTTCAAAAACGATATTGCCATAATACAAAAAGATCCAAATACATTCAAAACGCCAAAAAATATATAGATAATTTAAAAGCAATAAAAATGTGCAAATTTGACGGCATAAAGAAAAATAAGAACATTTATCAACTTAGTTTAGACATTTACATATTAATAAAGATGATCGTTATAAGTGATCAAGCCAAACATGTCTTTAAACGAAAATTTTAATTAATAATTTTAAATAATCCTTCATTTGATATGATAATATCAATTAATTCTAAAATATAACATGTTTTGGATATTTCCAAAAAACCTAGAACAACTTTTAACGACTTATGGACAATTTAGAATATTATTCAATTTAAAATTATTTGACTGATCTATGGACAAAAATTATATCACACGTACTTCTATATGTACAAATGGAAAATTGTACATTAATTTTATTAACATTTTTAATCTATATTTTTCGTATTATTATATAAAAAATACTAGTTGGCTTTTATATTTTTATGTATTATTTTATACCTGATTAAATTAGGGATTAAGGATATTTATACTCAATTAGTAACCAGTAACTCATCTATATACTGGGAACTATATATGTAAAGCAATAAATAGAAAATACAGTTTGACATGCCTCTAATTGAAGCATTGAATATAAGAAAAATTCATGAATGTCATAAAATGAAATCAAATCAACCCAAATAGGCACGGATTATCAGATAAGATTTTAAAAGTAGTCTAAACTTGTACATATACCCATCAATTATTTACTTTTGAAATGTTAGACTTTTATGTGCAAATTCAAAATTAATTTATGAATAATATGAAGTTAAGTAGATTAATGTAAACTTATTTTAATTAATAAATTCAAAATATTGATTACATATCTATATATATTTTGTTTAAAGTACTCGTATATAAAATATATGCAATTGTATTTCAGATTAAGACCATTGAACTAGCAAAAACATATTCACGTTTCAAAGTATTCTTATCGTAGAATTATATTGTATATATTTTTAGGAGTAGATATATATATATATATATATATATATATATATAATTGTTTTACAGGTGAAATCGAAGCGAGTAAGCGCCGCTTAAAATATTCAGTACAGTATGGTCACAAACGCAACGCAACGGTTGTGACTGAACTAAATGTATTATTATGTATGTAAAAATTAATTGCAGGCAATTGACTACTAATGTTCAACATTTAGCAGAATATTCAACAAAGAAATCTATCCGTATATAAGAAATAGTTATTTAAAAAAAAAACGAAGGAAGAAACTTTTTTTGACTCTTTAAAAACAATGCGGTCAATTGTTATGGCGGCTGTCTCTACCGTACCCTGGCACAATCAAACCTAGCCCCCCTACTCACATTCGTTTCATCAATGAGTTGATTTTTGCGCCCGAATGTTTCCTTTTTCTGGTCACATAGTCCTCAAGTCCAGTTTCCATCATCTTTACCATTTGTGTTGATTGATTGTTTTGCACGGGTCGATTTTGTAGGTAATAACGTGCTAACAACTGTATCACAGAATGTTTCAGTTTTACGTTGATCTGATTTCTTTAAAACAATTATTGCTACTGCAACAATTACCTGTTCTTTTGCAATCTCATTTGAATTAAGTGATTCATATTTAGACATCTTAGATGTTACTGCTCGGTATTAGTAGCAATACTAGGTGCAGCTTATAAAATCTCTTTTTTTTTTTCAGTTGGCTTTATTAATTGCACATATTTTATTTTAATGTTTCCAACCTTATCAACTGTTAATAGAAGTTGCTGCGACTACTGTGGTTGTAACATGTAACAGGAAAATAGAGTTCGATGCACGCGCATCACCAACTCCCTGCACAGTTACATAATTGTAATGAGTTCACTTTAAGGGGTTAGGGGTACTTGCAGGCACGAAAAAATGAGTGTTTTCAGTATTTTTTTTTGGTTATTAAACGATGTTTTTTTACAAAAATATTAATACAGCCTTATTATACAATGTTTTGACTTGATGTAACAAAAATTTCAGAAAAAAAAAATCAATATTCCCACAGTTATAGCTGTTTTTGTTGACCCTGTTTCAAAAAACGGTCTTGGCGGTGACCATCATAACTCCTTAGAGATTCATCTAAAATCAATCAAATTAAAAAAATAGTTTTATGAATAGTTAATCCCGCGCCGGATCGAAGGTTTTCTTTTTTTTGCAAAAATTAACAAAATGGCAGCGTCAGAAAGAAAAAATCTAGATTTTGGGGTTAAAAATCAATAGTTAATTGGTCTTAAAAAATTCAAATTTTTGAAAAAATAAAAATCCTTCGATCAGGCACGAGTTTATTATGTATTCTAAAAGCTGTATGAATTTCATTAAAATTTACTAAGTGGTTTTCGAGTTACAGTGGTCACCGTTTCAAAAAACATAGTTTTGAGAAAAACGCGTTTAAAGTTTCACATTGGATTTACGTACAGAAATTCGAATTATTGAATTACTTAAACCGAGTCATCTATATCTGGGCCATATAATAGTTTATCAGTCATTGTGCAAGTTTCCAAAATTTCTATTTGCTGTTGCCTACAAAGCATTCTGGCCTCCTGAGTGTTCTCGTTGGCGCGCTGATCTGCCACTTTCACACGTGCAGCATCCAATTTTTCAGCATACCAATGGGAATTATACCCACAATTAGGTTCTAGGGTATCCATAATCAATAATGATAATTATGTATATGCATTCAGCAATTTGTACGATAGTAAAACTAGTATTCACGGTTTTTAGGTATATTTTTTACACTAGTTGGTTGAAACTTTTAATTTTTTCTGATTATGGATTTAATCTTGAACTACACATCTTAAAAGTAAATTATCATTGTTGAGATCGTCGTAAATCGGTTTGAAAGCGTTTAAAACATCAGGAGGTGAGGGAGAATGATCTTGAGTATAAGTATCGAGCTCTCCACTTGCGTCAACGCGCTGGTAAAAGTCCAATAACTCAAAAAGTAATCATCGGATCAACTTGAAATTTTCAGAGAATATTTTCAAGATGTTACCCTTAATGAAAATGCAAAAAAATAAAAATCGATTTTTCAAAAATCCCAAGTACCCCTAATCCCTTAAGCAAAAAAACAGTTATATTTGCGAACACTTGACCGTAGATTCTATTAGGTGGCCCGTGTGGTGCCAGCAACCGCGCTCATTCCAGCTCGAATGGCGTTGCAAAAGTTGTTGCGGTTAAAAAGCTCGTAGTTGTGCATGCGTTCCAAACTTTTAGCTCACCAATCGCGGTGTTCAACTGGCATGTCTGAGAAGCTATGCCAGCTAGCAATCCGCCGAAGTTCCTTCGATGACTCGGTGGGCAGCTTCCGGGATACCAAAGTTTCCGAGTTCCAAGATTTCCAAGGAAAGTATGGTTGCAAAGCTGAAACTTAAAAGAATTGTTGGAAGGGCTTTACAAGGAGTGGACTCTGCGGGTTAATTTAAATCAACACGAAAACCTCACCAGGTCCGGATACCCAAATAATTAACAGATTGAGAACTTCTTGATTCGGTGAGTGATGGTGCATGGTCATTCTTAGTTGGTAAAGTGATTTGTCTGGTTATTTCTGATAATAAACAAGTCTGCTGATAATAATGTACTTTCCGCGGTATCGTAAAGGCCCTCCGGGAAATATTTGTATAATGGGATAATGGGAGGGTCAAACAACTCTTGATAAAAATAATTTTTTTTTATAAGTAAAATTAATAGTTTGTCATAAAATCAGAAAAAAAAGTATTATAATTCAGTAAACAAAACACTCACTGACTGAAAGCGTGGTGATAAATTTGTGGAAGGAGGGTGAAAATTTAAAGTTGTATACATTTTGTAATTCCGTATTATGAAAATTAAAATGAAAAGAAAATCAATTCCAAAATTTAAAAAAAAAATCATAATTCTATAAATATTTTTTCACCATTGATAAAATTCAATAGTTTTTTGAAGTAAAAAGAGTTCATGTATTTTTCAATTTCACACTATAGATAATCAAAATAAAGAAAAGAAAATTGGTCCCAAAATTTAAAAAAAAATATTAAGGGTGAACAACCCTTGATAAAAAATAAATAGTAATTTGAAGTAAAAAGAATTGTATGTATTTTTCAAATCCGCATTACAAAAATTACAGTAAATAAATGACCTCGATGACATCATAATTGAAAAAATGTATTAGGCTTGAACACTCTGAATATTTTTTTTTAAGTAACATTTAACTATTTTCATATACTCAAAAAAATCTTAACTAAAATTATATCAAATAAACGTTCAATTAAATCTAAAAGAAAATTGATTCCAAAATTTAAAAAAATATCCGTGGGCGACCTTGATATAAACTAGATGGTATTGGTATTTTGCCTTGAGGCAAGTTACATGAACTTCCCGATATGTGTAAATAATTGATTTAATCAATAAAAATAAATTAATTTATGAGTGATTAAAAGTATTCCGAGTGAATTCATTACACATAATTAAAAGCGAACAAAGACGTTAACTCGAAGTATTTTCTAAAAGCAAATTTTCAAAAATTAACCATTTTTATATTTGAACCAGTTTTCGTAGAACTTTAATGGTTTAGTATGTTCATTAATTCTATCGTTATACCAAGTAAATCGTCTAATTTTAATTTTAACAAACGTCAGAAAGCTACTCATTTTCTCAAACTTTTCTCAAAGACCTAGAAGACCATGATATATATCGCCAAAAAAAGTTCTATAAAAATCGGCTTAAATTTTTTTCAACAGTTAATTACAAGAAACCCGCTCGGTAGATTTTCGCCCAAAACTAATCAGTATCATTCCCAACTAATATCTTTCGAACAGTTTTTGATTTTTTAAAATCGATTCGGTAGTATGAGCTTAAATGTGGACGGAAAGTTTAACACTTTTTTTCTAATTACAAAGAAACGGTTCGGCCAATCGACGCACAAAACAGAGAAACGAGATTCATCAAATGGCTTTTAAATTTCTGAAATCGGTTCAGGCGTTGGAGCCGTAATATTTTAGTATGATCTATAAGACTATGGTATCTATCATCAAAAAAAAATTATAAAAAAATTGTCGAAAAAAAATACTATATTACAAGAAAACGGCCCGGCCAATCTCTACCCAAAACTATAATCAGCATGATTCCCAACCAATATCTTTCGAACGATTTTTTAATTTTCAAAATCAATTCAGAATTGCGGGCTAAAACGTGGACGAATTTTTTTTTTCACTTTTCTGCTAAGTGAGATATCTCATAGGAGATAATCTCTTAATGCATTAACTCCAACATCATATTGTCTTAAAAAATGTATTTTATTTTGTTTGACAATGAAACTATGCGTAAAAAAAAAACTTTTCTGCTATTTATTAAGAAACGGCTTGGCCGATCATCGTACAAAACTGACAAACAATAGTCCTCATAGAGATACATAGATTGGCTGTTAAATTTTTGAAATCCGTTCAGCCGTTTTTGAGAAAACATCAATTTACGGCAAAAAATTGTGCACACAGTCACACACACACAGAAACCTTTTCCAAATTTCGTCTCATTCAGTTCAGAATGGCTTAAAACGTCGAGAAAACATGAAATTAGCGAATCGGATTTTACTATGAAAACATAAACTTCTCCTTCGGGCAGTTAATAAAATTAATACTATACTTCAAAATTAACATACTATAATTCAAAAATACATCTAACGCTTCATTCGTTTAACGTTTATGCTTATTTATCTATGGTTTCATTTAGTGACGTGCCGACTCGGAAAATTCCCGATTCGAATGATTCGAATCAGAAAAAAACCTGATTCAAATCAAGTATATATATGGACAAAAAAAATCATGGATGTATTTATTTAGTAAAAGTGATTCAAATTTATAATCAAAATTGTTAGTTTAACCAATATAACAGATAAAGTAAAAATTGTAAACATAAATTGCTATCAAAAAGTATATTTTGAAAATTGTTAAACATGATTTAATTTTAAAGGCGGTTGATACATATCTACAAGTTGATTTACAATAATAGATTACCAAACAATTGTGCATCACTAAAGCATATAAAATATTATTTGGAATCATGGGTCAATTGTTTATTTTACTATGTAATCAGTAAAGGATCGCGTCTAAACTGAGAGCTGAAAGTTAATTTCATTAATGTGAATTTGCCATTATTCACATAATCAGAAGTTGAATATAATTTACTGGCTTTCTGTTGTTTAGTAATTGTTTCAAAAGAGTATTATATTGAAAGATTCTTGAAACTCGTTTCATAATTTTGAATGGATTATTCTGATAACATCTAAAATCTAAAACACTGAATTATTATCAAAATTGGGTATTGATACTTCACGAACAAAATCGCTCTCAGCGCTCTGTAAAATAAATAAACACGCAAGAACGACGACGCATTGTATCTGTTTCGAACTCATATCGCTCGAACCGCTTGAAGTCGGAATGATTCGGTTTGAGTCATATGAAATCGATTGAAGTCTTATTGCTTGAAGTCGGAATGATTCGGTTTGAGCCATATGAAGTCGAATGATATAGTTTGTTGATGAATGCGGTTAAAGTCGATTGGTATGGAGTCGGTTGATACATTTATGCGCCGGTTGTCTCGCATGATTTAATTCATGATTATTTTTTATATTTATGTCATTTATGTTATTCATTATTATTTTTTATATCATTATAATATTGAATTGAATTAAAACATTTCTTTATATTTATGAAAAAATTGTGTTCATGCATATTTTATCACAGTAAATATTTTGCGGCTTGATACGAGTTGATTAGAATCAAGTAAAACAAGTTAAAGGCTTGTTTCGAATGATTCGAATCACTTGATTCGACTTGTCACATCACTAGTTCATTCATGTTTACTGCTAAACCATGACTAAAAGCATAGATAAGTAAACATAAAACTAAAAGAACATGTTGCATGAATTGTATTATATTGGCATCACTGACTGTCAAGAAACGTCAAAGTGATTTATCAGTTTTATCAGTCACAATAAGTAAATGTATATATTGATTGTGGATATATATTTAAAAACAATAAGATGTGTATAGGCAATTCGAACTGTTGAATAAATGTTTACAATCATATGTGGTTCAATATTTTTTCTTTTGAGGCCCTTAACACGCACAAACTCGTTGAAAAACAGTTTTATTTTCAGAAATGTCTCAGGTAGTGTTAACATACAATAAATTTTATTTTTTTTTTTTTGCTAATATTCTTCTTCTTCAGGAATCAGAGTGCGAAGATGATATTGAGCCAAAACTTAAATATGTAAGAATTAGCAACGATTTGCGTAAAATTTTGAGTAGTGATGCTGCTAGTTGTGTTGCTGTACATCCAAAGGTTTTTTTTATTTGTTTTAAATATCGTTTTCAATATTTAATAACTTTTTTTTATCTATTTGCAGTTTTTATGTTTAGGTACTCATTTTGGAAAAATATACTTGTTCGATCATCAAGGAAATATAGTAACATTAAATTCTAATTCTAAAGATTTACCTATTATGCCATTGCCCATCAATCAAATAAATATTGATGAAAAAGGAGAATTTATAGCTGCTTGCTCAGGAGAACATGTTTGTACACATATTTTCAGCTATTTCAATTTGCAATATGAGTTGGTAAATATAAATGTATTTTCAATTGTAGGTTATTGTCATTGGTTTATACTCTTCAGACGTCAATGTCAATTTGCGTTTAAGTACTTGCATTCTCTGTGTTTCTTTAGATCCAATTTATCATAAACCTAATGCAGGCCACAGATTTATTACAGGTAACTGATATAAAAATAAGTTTATTAAGTCATTTAATTTTTAATAATTGCGTTTATTATAATATTCACAACATACTTGCAAGATAATATACACAGATGAAAATACTTTGAGCAAATATTTCAACTATATGGCTTCACTTTTCGGTTATTGTGGGAAATATTTTATATTATTGAGAATCTAATTTAATTATGTCTCACTAAATAAATATTATGTGCATTTAAAGTAGATTGATTTAAGAAAAGGAATTCTTAGTATCTTTTTTGTTTGAAAATTATTAAACAATTTCGTTCATAGTTGTGTATTAATAATAATTCTCTGAATGTATTCAACGTCTTGAAAATATTTAGGTTGTACAAATGTTTAATTGGCATTTTATCTCAATACAAAATGCATGAAATTTTATATATATATTGAAAATAGTTTTAAATCCTGATGGCTTTATTATGAAAAAAGTAAAATTATCACAATACCGGTTAACTTATTTTCCTCACATTCAGTTCAAGGTGTCTTTCTCTCACAGCTTGTGGGATTGACAAACATTTGAACTGATTGTAAGTAAAATGCACTAACCAATTTTTTATTTTTTTACTAGATTTTTTATTGTGAAACTATCAAATGTTTTCTCAATCCTGGTTAAATGCAGCAACTTTTGATGAAACTTGATAAGACACTTTTGTCAATTTTTTCTTAATGTATGGTTTGACCAAGAATACCCATTTTGAAAATTCTAAATTCAAAGTTTAGTAAAAAGTCTGATGACTATGCTATTAGTTACGGATCGGAAGTAAACTCACTATAGAACACATTTATGTCGAGTATTGGGTTTCAAAGTTGTCGGAGTCGTGGAGTAGTTAAGCAGTGATTTCCAACCTGTGGGGCGCGCCCCCCATGGGGGGCGCCGTACCGTTCCAGGGAGGGCGCGAAGCTGTTACAAAAATATTTTTTTTAAATGCTGAGTAAGTGTCAAAAAAAAAAAAAAAAAATCAGCAAAATACTTAAAGTACTTCTAAGAGTGTTTGAGCTCAAAAAAGAAATTGCTATATTTCTTGCTGATGACAAAAGAGACGGAGCAATCTTGTTTTAGGACACAAAGTTCCTCGCAAAATTTGCGTATACAGTTGATATTATTCAAAGACTTACCGATTTAATTAAATCAATGCAAGGATCTCAAATTCGTGCTTTTGTGCAGAAAGACAAGATTATGGCTTTAATGAAAAAATTAGAACTGTGTATAGCTAGTATCAAATAACTTTATAACTTTAACATGTTTCCCACTTTTAAAATTACTTGTGTTACTGATGAAATAGAAGTAAGTAAAGATCTTATTATTATATCAGTCATATGACTAGTCTACGAAACCAATTTTCGCATTACTTTATCAAATTGCGTCCAAATACGAATGGATTAGAAATCCATTTATCATTGAGAAACATGATGATTTTGATCATTCAACAGCAGAGCAGAAAATGATAATTGATTTATCTAGTGATAGCACATTGAAGCAGATGTTTTAGGACGAAAATATATTGTTAAGTTTTGGTTACCAGTAAAGGACGATTTTCCTACTTTGGCAAATAATACTTTAGAAATTTTATTACCATTTGTGAGATCTTACTTATGTGAATCAGAAAATTCTTATAATAAATAGTTATGTTTGTATGTATATTTTTTATAATACTGTCTATTATTTGGCATAATTTCAGTTATATTAAGTATATTTAAATTAAATTGTTAGAAAAATAAGAAAGGGAGGGGGGCGCAATATGTTTTTCATTCGATAGGGGGGCGCAAGGAAGAAAAGGTTGGAAACCGCTGAGTTAAGCGGATATACTCCTCTCTGAAGCAGAGTCAAATCCCAACCGATGCGATTTCGGATATGATAAGCTCAACTCAACTTATATATATATATATATATATGTACATATACATATATATACAGTGATACCCCGCATAACGAAGGGCTCGAACAATAGACCACACAACATACTAAATCGTTGTCATTTGTAGTCAAAAAAAATATGTTGCTCAAATTAATTCAAAGAGTCGACTTTTGAAATTTTTGTTCTCCTGTGAAAATATTCTTGTCAGAAAAAACACTATTATTTCATCTCATTCATCTTGTAAAAATTTTGAATGTGGATTAAACCTAGACAAGACAGACAGAAACCAGTCAGCAAATTTTTAGTACATTAAGTTCATAAAGAACTATCTTATCTTCATATATATATATATATATATATATATATATATATAAAGATTTATGCCATAGTTCAATACATTGTTATTTTAATTGACAGGAGGTAAAAATCTAGCATTGCATGAAAAAACATTCTTGGGTAGAACACGAACAACAATTTTATGCGAGTCAAGTAGTTTGGTATTATCAGCAGTTTGGAATAATCAATTTATAGCATGGTCTTCTGAAGAAGGAGTACGAGTTTATGACATAAATGAACGCTGTTCTTTGGGATTAATTAATTGGGAATCTCGAAGGTAAACCTTTAAGGGGGGCGGGCGATACATGTAATCGCCTTAATTTTTACCATTTTTTGAGGACTTTTTAAACTGGGAAGGAATGATTGAATCTTTTTGAACTTTTTTAGGGTTATTTATTATATATTAGAATACACAAAAAAAAATTTTTTTTAATTTTTTTTTTTTAATGGCTGCCGTAAAAATAAATCTGCCAAGACCCTCTCGGAAAACGCCATCAATTTGCGGACGTTCTCACTTTTCGTACGGTGATCTGAATTTAAAAAAATTAGTTTGTACGTGTTCATAAAACATATATCTTCTAGTTAAACCAAAAAAAAATTAAAAAGGTCACAAAATCGTAAATTGGCACACCTTAGGAAAAAAAGTTCGATTTTTCACCTTTTTTTCAATGGTTTTTTTTGGTAAAAGGGTTAATTTTTGAAATTTTTTTTGGAATGTTTGAGGTTTAACTAGAAGCTATTACTGTAAAGTAGATGTGTGCAAAATTTCATTGGAATCGGTTGAGAACTTTTTGAGTTATCCCGCCCGCAAATTTCAAAAATGTCGTTTTGAGAAAAACGCGTTTAAAGTTTTGACACAGAAACAGATAAGAGTACAATAGCACTCAAGCGTCGAGTTGAGGCGTGGCACTTAAATGAGTTTTTATTGTATAAATAATGATAATTTTGTTTTGAATATTTACAGGCATATTTTTGAGATGTTATTGTAATGATTTATGAAAAAAAAAATCGATTTTTTTTCTTGTTACATGTATCGCCCCCTTAAGTTAATTACATTAAGCACATAAGTGAAGGCTGATTGTACATTTGTTTCTTGATTAAAAAAAAATGTTTCAAAGTGTATTGACACATTTATACATGATTATAAAATATTTGATTAATTAATAATAAAAAGAATGAACCTAAAAATAAACAGTTTGTGCATATTGTAGAGGAGGGTTTTTCACAATTGACCGGTTTTTAAAACTTTCTTAATTTTAGAAAACTTAATGCAATTGTGTGATTATTTTTGACTATGGTTCTAGAAATGTTATTTACAGTTACGGATAGAAAGTTTAACCTTTAACACGTTGTTACCCTATATCTAATTAATAACTAGTGGTATATGGCATCATGCCTTAAAACTAATTAAGATTAACTAATTTTTCCACTGAATGAAGACTAGGATTACAGCCGAAACATATGGATTTAAAATAAAGTTTTGAAAGAAATTCATGTTTTTTTTATGTTATGCCCGATTACTAGACTTTGTTAATGCATATGTTAACATCAAATTCAGAATCATACAATATATATATATATATATATATATCATATATATATATATATATATATATATATATATTTATTTATTTATTTATTTATTTATATTTATATAACTTTTTTTCAAATTCTAGTGATGATATACAGAAGTACCGTTGCAACCTAAAGTGGTCAGATTCAAAGACACTTCTGATTGGCTGGGTTGACACAGTTCGGGTATGTGTCATTCGAAAAAGACACACAATAGAAATATCCAATGGAAATATGCCAGAGTATATTGTAGATGCAGGTAAAAACACACACACGTGTATATATATATATATATATATATATATATATATATATATATTTAATCTGAGTTAAAAAGTCGAGTGTTACATCAATGAAAATAGTATGAGGGTTTTTTAAAAATTTATTTATTTAAAATCCATACGTTTCGGCTAGCATCTTAGTCTTTATTCAGTGGTAATCAAATCAACTATAAAAATTAAAACTAAATAAATAATATGTAAGAAATTTCATAGAAAAACAATAATAATAATAATAAAACACTTACAATTTTGTATCCTAATATAACATATGAAACCATTATTAATCCATGGTATGAGTATGTGCACATTGATAAAATATATATTTTTTAGCATCACAGATGGTAAAGCACACTAAAAAACATGTTAACTTAACAGGTTGTCGAAACTATGTATTTACTGTTCGGAGTTTGATATAGAAATGTCACATTTTTTCTTTTAAAGCAGTTTTTAGCATGTGTTCAAATTTTACGAGACATTTAAAAAGCGATGGGTAAGAAATTTTGACTTGCTATTAAGGAACCATGTGTTACTGTTGTTCAGGGCCGTATTGTCAAAACGTTTGTTTATAACTTTGTCGTTATGTAATTGGAAAAACAACCCCTCAGCAAATCTTTTTTTAATCACGTTCCCTTCAAAATGTAAACTTTTAGGGTTGAAAAAATAAGGCGTTTACTCAGGTTTTGGATAGTTTCTCCGATATAAAATAGTTCGCAATTAGAGCAATTAATCTGATAAACCAAGTTCCTGAGGCGGTCAGAATTAAACTTAGATTTAATTTGTATAAAAATTGAACTAAGGGTTGTATTGCAATTACATACCAACAAAATGCCACATTGTTGAAACAGTTTTCTCCACGAAAAATATAAATCTTTTACGTATGATAGGCAAATGAACCAGTATATGACTCCTAGTCTAAACTGTTTTTATGGTCGGTGAGGCCGTTTTGTTTGTTGAAAATGAACTTAATTATTGTATATGTAGTTAATTATGTTTGTAGGGTAAGAGTTATTTATTAGTGTGCTTATTACCAGGTTAATGTTGGTGCCCCAGAAATTTTTATCAGATAGTAGTATGGCGTGGTCTGTTAGATTTATGATTGTTGCTATTTTCATTTTGAGAGGGTGGTATGAGTGGTAATTTATGTATCGTCCGGAGCTAGTTCTGGTACCAGTTAGTAATTAGTCGGTGGTCATTTGTACGTATTAGTCTGATGTCTAGAAAGCTGATCGAATTTATTGTCTCTAATTCCACAGTAAACTGTAGTTTTTTTATTGAAATTGTTCAAATTATCAGTAATGATGCTAATGTCTTCTTCTGGAATACAAGTAATAATATCGTCTACATAGCAGAAATAAAAGATTTTGTTAAAAAGAAAGTTTGTTTTAATTTTTAAATATTTTGTTTTCTATTAGTTGCAAGGAAATTTCTACTAATGAGGGAGATGCGGGCGATCCCATTGGGGTGCCAAAAATTTAGTAATAAATGGATCTGTTAAATTCAAAATAGGTGTTAGAGACAATGAATTTGATGACTTCTCTATATCAATGTAGGGATAATATGGTGTGAAGGCTGATTTCTTTCCATCTGATAGTGATGGCATCTAGTACTAAGTCTAGTGGAATATTTGTAAATAAGGATATAACGTCTAGGCTAATTAGTTTATAATTATTGAGAATAGAAATGTTATTGAGATGTTTGACAAGCTCAAACGATTTTTTTTATGTGATATGGACAAATGTTCGCGGGATCGCGAGTTATATTAGAAGCATTTCTTAACTTTATATCTGCGATTTCATATCTTAGCGAAAAACACCCAAAATGTAAAATACTACTGCTAGGAGATTTTAATTTACCAAGTAGTATTAAACAAACTGAGTGTCACAGACTGATTTACGATGAATTTGCTGCTCTAAACTGCCAACAAGTAAATCATATTCCAAACTGTAATGATAAGTTTCTAGATCTCTGTTTTAGTAACATGAATGCTTCAATAAATAGAGCAATAGCAATAATAGAAGAGGACAAATACCACCCAGCATTAACCGTTATCATAAATAAACAAACTGCTATTACTCAAAGCCCATTTATCTATTCAACAAAGCAGACTACCTTGGATTAAACGATTATTTCTACAGAATAAACTGGATAGAGATATTTAAACTAAGCAATTTAGACAACAAAGTGAACAAATTATATGATATAATTCAAAGTGGTCTCAATTCAAACTGTTTGTTCCAGCAATCACTCCAAAACAGAATAAATACCCCAAATGGTTTACAAAAGATTTGATTAAGAAGATTAAGCTTAAAAAAGTAGCGTACTCTAAATACAAAAGCTCAGACAAGATTTATACTGAATTTAGCATACTACGATCCGAATGTAAAAAACTAAGCAAAATATGTTACACTGACTTTATAAGAAAAGTGGAAAATGCTGATAGTTAACACCAATGACTTCTGGAACTTTGTGAAAACAAAAAAACGTAACGATTGCAGTATTCCCTATACTATGTCATGGAATGAAACCACAGCCCACAACGGAGACAGCATCAGTAACCTATTTGGATCATTTTTCAAGAATATATATGCTTCGAAAACGGACAGCAGAATAGTATACAAAGATGTAAACATAGGTCACAGAACACTCGATGCCAATCTATGTTATCTCGTGAACGTGAACTCCGATGAACTAGTGCAGATTATGCTTAAACTGAATATCAAAAAGGGTGCTGGACCTGATGGCTTGCATAATATGTTTCTCAAAAATTGTTCAGCTAGTCTTTGTGAACGAATTACGCATATATTTCAGGAATCATTAAAAACAGGAATCCTTCCAACTGCTTGGAAAATGGCTTTTATTACCCCTATACACAAGTCCGGTTCTAAATTAATAGTCGACAATTACAGACCAATTTGCATTCAATCTTCAATTTCAAAACTATTCGAAAAATCTGTACTTATAAAATTGACTTTTAAAAATATAATCTCTACCAGACAGCATGGTTTCGTAGGCGGGCGATCAACAGCGACAAATTTGGTTCTGTACACAGAATATATCATTAATGCTTTTAACTCCGGATTGGATGTACACGCAATTTACACCGATTTCAGTAAGGCCTTTTGTTTGTAATTTTTATCAAAAACATCGGAATAGACCTCAAGTCCGAATTTCTGCTTTACGCGGATGATCTAAAAATTTATAAAAAGATATTAAGTGAGAGCAACGTTACAATACTACAACAAGATATCGCGAGACTGAATACATGGTGTCAAATTAACAAATTAAATTTAAACTTCAAGAAATGTGCCGTAATGACCTTCTCTAGATTCCACAATTATTGTCCTCACACCTACTTTCTGGGTAATCAGAAAATTAATGAAGTAATGACCATAAAAGATCCAGGAGTCATTATGGATAACAAACTCTGCTTTACTGAACACATAGGCAAACTCATTCTAAAAGCCTTTCGTACACTCAGCTTCATAACAAGATGCTGCAATGACTTCCATAAACTGGAAACACTTTACTGTCTATATTCTTCCCTAATTAGACTTATTCTGGACTACTGTTCAATCGTCTGGTCTCCGAACACTGAACAATTGATTAATAGACTAAATAAGGTGCAGTATAAGTTTGAGAAATATGTGTCGAACTTTGCCTACTATAAAATGCAGGGGAATGCAATGCTGATGACATCATAAAGAAAAGCAGAAATAACACCTTTACCGCGCGTAGAAAAATCACGGACTTGCTTTTCTTTTACAAGATAGTAAACGGCTTTATTGAATCACCAGAATTCTTAGAAATACGCCGATTGGCGTATAAATAAATAAATAAATAAATATTAATAGTCTTTGCAAGTGCTAACCTAATATGAAACTGATTATATTTTTTTACAGAGCGTTTGCATTAATTCATTAACTATTAAATTACTAATAAGCAAAATCCAATATTTTTAAATTATACTATTATCTGGCATGCACACAGAATAGACTGAGATTGAATAAAATATTAGAGAATGGAAAATGTTTCAGCTCTGATATAGATTTATATGGTACTAGCTCCCCAATGCTCCCCATTATAAAAAAATAAAAACAATAGAACTCTGACCAAAAATTACAAAAAAAATAAAGGTGAACAACCCTTATCACTTTTAGGAGTATGGAAAATAGATAATTACCAATCCTCAGACCTACTGAATACGAATATAAAATTTGGTAAAAATCGGTAAAGCCATTTCGGAGGAGTATGGGAACAAACTTTGTTACGAGCAAATTTTATATACACTAGAAACTCGATTAACTGGACTAATTGTTGTCGATAGGCATTCGTATAATCGAATGTATGAAGAATTATGTTGTGCATTTATTAATAATAACAAATGCATACAAATATATCAACGAAAATCAATGTTTATTAAGAAATTAACACTTCCGTATGTATGTACATATAAATTTTCTTACGGAATTTTATGATTTTTTTTAAAGTGCCATAACATTTTAGTATGATCTATAAGACTATGGTGTCTAACGTCAAAAAAAATCATAAAAATCGTCGAAAAAATCTTTTTTATCACTTTATTACAAGATAACGGTTCGGCCGATCTTTACCAAAAAACTTATCAGCACGATTCCCAACCAATATCTTTCGAACAGTTTTTGAATTTTCAAAATCGATTCAGAATTGCGGGCTAAAACGTGGACGAAATTTTTTTGAAACGGCTTGGGTGATAACCGCCAGTCCTCATCGAGATACATCGAATGGCTTTTAAATTTTTGAAATTGATCTAGCCGTTTTCGAGAAAACGTCGATTTACGTCAAAAAATCTGTTCACATACACACACACCCACATACTTTTTCCAAATTAAGTCTCGTTATCATTAGAGAACCGGATTTTTTTATGAAAACATAAACTTCTCCTTCGGGAAGTTAAAAACCAAAATTTAAATACATATTATTACCACGTTTTTTATTAATT